GAAGGGAGCATATATTTATCTCCCTGTTTAGTTAGATGGCTTGACAGCTGAAAAATAAGATGAAATAATAGAAATCTCCCTAATTTCTCCCTCTCTCGCTCTCCTTCCTCTCCCTTGTTCCAGAGGGAGAAATGGAGCATATATCTCTCCCTGGCTTGTATAAAATGATGGCGTACTCCCTTTAACGTCTCCCTTATCTATTCCTTTTCTCTTCTGTCCCTCCCTCGCTCCCTCTCTCCCTTGTTCCAGAGGGAGAAAGGGACTATATCTCCTCCTGTCGTGTTAGAGGGCCTTAACACCGCTGAAAGTCGGAACGAAACAATGAAGGTGTAGTGTGTGTGTGTGTGTGTGTGTGTGTGTGTGTGTGTGTGTGTGTGTGTGTGTGTTGTGCGGTATAATAACGTCATTTGTCTCCCGCGGCCCACCACCCCCACTGCCCTTCTTCCCCTCGCTGTTTAACATAGGCGCTACAACCTCCTTTCGCCTCCTGTACGTCTGTGTGTACCACTAAACGTACATGTGTGTGGTTGTTGATGTGTATACCTTACCACTAAACGTACATGTGTGTGTGTTTGTTGATGTGTATACCTTACTAAACGTACTGTGTGTGTGTTTTTTTACACTAAACGATTGTGGTTGTTGTAAACCATAAACATGTGTGTGTTTTGTTGATGTGATACTACCACAAACGTACATGTGTGTGGTTGATGAATACTTACCCTAACGTCTGTGTGTGTATTTGTTGATGTGTATACCTTACCACTAAACGTACATGTGTGTGGTTGATGATGTGTATACCTTACCACTAAACGTACATGTGTGTGGTTGTTGACGTGTAGTCCCGACCACTAAACGTACATGTGTGTGACTATTATGTGTACACCGACCACTAAACGTACATGTATGGATATTGATATGTGTGTATATATATGTGTGGTCGTAAGTACATATGCGGATATACATAATATTCAACACAATTCAGTATACATTTAATACCAGTATATACAGCTGATATGTATTTTTAAACATACAATTAAGTATACAACAGGTGTACATACTTCATCGTGCACATTTTACGACACCTTTTAGCTAAACTATTTTGAACTGGTCACCAGGAGCCTCAAACTTGTTCTGTTCGTCTGTGTGGTGATCCCTTGTGTTGTGGATGCAGCGCTCGCCTCCAGTTTCATGGGTCATTGGTTCGACCCCCGGGCTCTCAGTTGACTCACATATTAATCACACTAACCTACACACACACACACACACATACACATACATATGAATCACACTAACCTACACACACACACACATATGAATCACACTAACCTACACACACACACACATACATATGAATCACACTAACCACACACACATACACACATATGAATCACACTAACCTACACACACACACACACACACATAGTCACACTAACCTACACACACACACATACATTGAATCACTAACCTACACACACACACACATATGAATCACACTAACCTACACACATATGGATCACTAACTTACACACACACACACATGAATCACGCTGACCTACATAATTCCCCAGTATAGCCTCATTACTGGGCTATAATACTGCTGCATGGGGCTAATTTGGGCTATTTTTCAGCTTCGTGTTAAACTGTTCCCTGATAATAGCCTAACCTATATTTTTTGCAGTTAGTTCATGAAGTTAATGGCATCCTCCTGACCACAGTTATATGCAGTTATAATAATTGAGGAAAATACTGATTATTTACTTTCTATATGATTTTATAATATACACTAATTTAGGTCAAAAACAATAATTATAACTGTTTTAAGTTTCTCGTATTTTGAACTCCCTGACACACGAACGGACGGACATTAAGGATTCATTTCCCCGTGTCTCTTTTGCCAGATGCGGAGCCAAAATTTGTACTATTATTATTCTTCTACTAAATAACTAATGTGAATCCTCGTTGGGGTATTATTCTCAACAGCTAGTGGGAAGGTGTGTTGGTGATGTGGTGTCTGAGATCGAGTATGTATGTATGTATGTATGTATGTGTATGTATGTATGTATGTATGTATGTATCTCCTTCATTACTCTGTCTCCTCTTTTTCTTTGTACAGTACTCTCTCTCTCTCTCTCTCTCTCTCTCCTTCCTCAGTGTGATTCCTCATTTAACTGTTTCTTGGTGTTTTGATTATTTTCCATTCGCAACATTTATTTTGGTAAGTTTAGAATTTTTCTTCTACAGTATATTGTATTGTATGAGATGTAAGACTTTCTAGATGTATGATTTTTTGTTATGATTTTCTTCCTAGTAAGTCTTGATCAGAGTAGAATGTACTAGAAGTCCAGCTGTTGATTACCCTGTGAACAGTGTTGTGAAGAGTTGGTCACTATTTAAGAGGGCCATAGTTCACAAGTGTGTTTCTGTTACCTGGTGGAAATCTACCTGCCTGTTATTTTCTCGTCGCTGATATCAATCGTCGGGAATTTACCAGAGACAGGCGGGACAGCCAGTTGTAATTTGACACGTGAAATATCTACTGCTTCTGTACGTATGACCTAGCCGATGGTAACCAGTAGTGGAAGCTGGGTAAGCGACGAAAGGAAGAATGTAACAGTATATATGTGGTTAGGTTAGGTTAGGTTAGGTTAGATGAGGTAATACTTAGGAATATTTACGGTCGTTCCATAAGGTACAACATGGTGTGGGATCTTAGTGTGGCCTTATGATTAGTTACAACATGGTGTAGGACCTTAGTGTGGCCTTATGATTAGTTACAACATGGTGTGGGACCTTATTGGCCTTATGATTAGTTACAACATGGTGTAGGATCTTAGTGTGGCCTTATGATTAGTTACAACATGGTGTGGGACCTTAGTGTGGCCTTATGATTAGTTACAACTGGTGTGGGACCTTAGTGTGGCCTTATGATTAGTTACAACATGGTGTGGGATCTTAGTGTGGCCTTATGGTTAGTTACAACATGGTATAGGACCTTAGTGTGGCCTTATGGTTAGTTACAACATGGTGTGGGACCTTAGTGTGGCCTTATGATTAGTTACAACATGGTATGGGACCTTAGTGTGGCCTTATGGTTAGTTACAACATGGTGTGGGATCTTAGTGTGGCCTTATGATTAGTTACAACATGGTGTGGGACCTTAATGTGGCCTTATGATTAGTTACAACATGGTGTGGGACCTTAGTGTGGCCTTATGATTAGTTACAACATGGTGTGGGAGTTTAGTGTGGCCTCCAGATCATCACCACCACCACCAGAGAGGTAGTAAGCGACTTGTCTACACCAGCCCCAGTTCTTGTCTGCCGCCCATGGGCCTGATCCTCTGCTCAGCCCTGGTTAGTGTCATGGTGAGCAAAGTTTCAGGTGTGTGGGAGACGGATATTACCATCGATACCACCGATACTACCACCGCTGATACCAACGCTGCCGATATCACCACTACCTATCACCGTCTTGGGAGAAGATAGACAATGATGTATATACTACAGGACCCTTAAATTTCACCCCTATGATGATAGATGTTACTGATGTAATGACAATACCACCGATACCACCACCGCTGATATCAACGCTGCCGATACCACCACCACCACCGATACCAACACTGCCAATATCACCACTACCACCATCCTGGGTAGAATAGTCGGTGAGGCTTTGTTATGGTGTTCCTGTCAAGGTATCATGTGTCACAGGGTTCGGTTGCTTCACCTGTCTCAAGAATAATAATTTTATACTTCAGCACCCGAGTTTTGAACACCTGGGGGGAACGTATATGTAATTCAGTCTTCATCAACAATAAACGACATGAAAATAAGTTAATCTCTCTTGCTCTTTCTGCTTCAAGGATGAGGATTTTGTAAAATTATCGTTTCGGTCATCCACTTATTTGCAAGTTGAAATTATTAAAGTTAGAATCGTTTAAAACACATCACAAACCATTGGAAACACATAATTTCAACCCAACCCAACTTAAAATTATGAAATTCTCTGGATGACTGAAACGATAATATAATACTGTTCATTTTAAAAGCACTCTCAATACCTTAATGCAAGTATATATGTTTTAATGAACAGCTGACATGTGTTCAGATAATAAAATCCACAATTCTCGCTCAGTCTCGCATAACTTCCAAGTGTCACTATTTATAGGGATACAAATTTGGATGCTTTATGGTACAACTTTTTTACATGTGGAAAGATTATACTATAGATAAATATGCATTCATAGCAATACAGTACTAGGAGGGGGGGGAGTGATAACATGTTGCCCCAGTTTTTTGTGAGGGTAGATAATGAATGGTGTTACTATAGTGTGCAGCTCTACAAGATATTTAGGTTAAGTTAAGATAAATATATCTGTGTAGTAGACTGCACGCTATAGAAGCATCTAATAAATATGTTGCTGTGTCCTTTCCTACGACCAGGTGTCAATACAAATGCTCAAAATCGCAAAAAATATGGAGTTAAAATTACATTGTAGGAGGGTATATCAATTTTGTAAAGGGGTTAAGTGTTGAATATTTCGTATCTTCAGTGTAACAGCATTTACAACCCTTATGACCTTGTGGGGGCTCGTTGGGGAACAATTATTAAGTATTTTTGTATCTATAATGATAAGAATATCTATGGAAAAAAGTGAACGAAATTGAACAACTCCTTCTGGTGGTAGTGGTATTCTCTTGCATTACCGAAATTACTGCCAAATGATCAGTATTTGCAGTGTTTTTACCCCGTTATTGCCTCCTCTTTCATGTCCTGCTCACTACCAAGTAATTTATGATCGAATGTTAGGCTACAAAGAAAAAATATAATGTTTTGGTTTTAGTAGGATCCCAAGAATGCGGTAAATATGAAGGAAATACAATATAAATGCATTTGGGTGCTAACCATCTGCTCTCCACCTTTACCTGTGATTTTTCTGAATTTATTGTAATTGTTTGAAATAGATTCGAGTTATTATTAATGTCTTATGACAATTACAGATGACACTTCAAGCTGATCATGTGAAGAATGACGACAGAGCTCTGGCCCAGGCGGATGGCGACATCTTTGAGAGAAAAACAAAACTATACATTAATTACTTCACTTAATTTACCTGATTTATGAGGTAAGAAATACGTTTTTCTTTATAGATACTTTCTGGTAATTCGGATCTTTACCCCTCACCCAATTTTCCTAATAATGATATTTATAAGATTTATTTAGTAGTTGTGAGAGGTTTAATAATAGACTTTACTCCTACAGCGTCAGATGGTGACTGGCAACCGGGCCCTGCCACAGACACTCTCACACCTCAACACATGGGAAAACATATCGTATGATGGTACTCCATTTCACAATCTCACATCCCCCCCTTTTATGCATTCATAAAAAAAACAATAATGCAAGAAAAACCAGTCAAACTAATTTTTCACTACATACACTACACCACGTAGTCAGCCAACCAGCCCCGGGGCCCGGGCCTGGCCACGCCCGACTGGGGAGGGGCCGGGGGTGCGAGCGAGGGCACTGCAGAAGGGGGGCCAAGAGGCATAGCTTGATGTACCACCGGAGTGGTAGGCACAGGCGTGGCGCCGCTTCGCAGGTGCCGTCTGTTGCGGATGGACACCCTGCCACTGCCAATCAACCTGATGGCATACTGACTGTGAGGGCGGGCTTCCACCGCTATGCCTGTCCTGTCCCAGAGCTTGGTAGCTGCAGAACACCTCCCCCCGCGACAGAAGGACCCCGTCCTGGGTTTCAGCCAAGGGCACCTCCCTCATACGAAGTGCCCGCCGCCAGTGCTGGTCCACCTTATAGTACTGTCTGGCCACGGGAACGCCGTCATGGAGCTGGCGGCCGGTGGCAAGTTGGGCGGGTGACTTGTTCACTCCCCGCAGAGGCGTGTTCAGGTACTGTAGGAGGTCCTGTTATCCCTGAGGAGCCTCTTGGCGGCCTTGACCCCAGCCTCTGCCCTGCCATTGGACTGGGGGAAGTGGGCCTACAAGAGCCGCACCTCGACCCCCCATGACTTGAGGAAATCTGTCATCTCAAGGCTGGCAAGGTTGGTACCTCCATCCGTGGAGATCTGCTCAGGTGCCCCCCACCTCGTGAAGTAACCCCTCAGACGGGCGATGATTTTTCCAGAGGTGGCCTCGTTGTGGAAGTGGGCGATCTCCAGCCAACCTGTGAGTCGGTCAGCATATGCTAGGTACGTGTGGCCCTGTAGTGGAACAAATTGGCCACCATTTGTTGAAAGGGATAGTCTGGCGCTGGGGTCAAGACCAACGACTCCGGAGGCTGGGAAGGGGCGTGGGTCTCACAAGCAGCACACCGGGACCAATGATACTGCAGGTCACCCTCCATGCCAGGCCAATAGACAGACTGCTGGGCCCACCTGAGCAGTGAGTCGAGGCCCTGGTGCCCCACGTGCAGGTTAACGGTGACCCGGTGGCGGAGGGAGTCAGGGATGACAAGGCGCACGCAGCCCTGGTCAAAGGTGTAGGTGACCAAACCCCTGACCACAGCCAACCTGTCCCTGACCGAGAATTACGGGCACAGACAGGCCACCTCCTGTGACTTGTGGGGGCGCCAGTCGCCCGCCAGCACCCTCGACACTAGAATCTGGTATACTGGGTCGTCCGCAGCCGCTTTACACACTGTGTCTTCGTCCATAGTGATGCATCCATCCTGATCCAGTGCTGCGATTGTGACTGCACACACTGCAGCGCACAGGTCCTCCTCTTGGTCCATGTCCTCCGCGTCGGGCGCCGCCCTGAGGGAGGGGAAGCGGGATAGGGTGTCAGCTGCACAGTTCCGCTTCCCTGGCAAGTACTTGACCGTGAACTGGTACTGCAGGGTCTTCTCCTTGAGGCCGAACAGGCGCGGATTCGTCACATCCGTGAGGGCTCTGTCCCCTAGCAAGCCAACTAAAGGGCGGTGATCCATCACCAGAATGAGATTCGGGCAGCCAAGGAGGAACAGCCTGGCCTTGCGCAGGCACCATACCACAACCAGGGCCTCCCCTTCCACGGACTCAGCCGTGCTCAGATGTCGGCTACCGCACAGAGCCAACCGCCACCCTCCCCTGCAGCAGAAGGGCGTCTCTGGAGAGGCACAGGCACAGTATTGTTGCAGGACGACGAAGCCGATGCCCTCCCTGCTCCAATCAGTGACAGCTGCCGTAGGCCTGGATTTGTCGTAGTACACTAAGCCGTCCCTGGCCAACTGACAGATGGTGTCCCGGGCCTGGCGAAACTTGAGCTGCAGCTGGTCGTCCCAATACACCTGCTTGCCCACTGGCGTCTTGAGGAGCTCACGGAAGGGCTCTATCACAGGTGCAGTGGCAAGGAAGGGAGCCAACTGGTTAACCAGGCCCTGCCAGGACCTGATGTCGGTGATTGATGGCTGATCAGACGTTGGGCAGTGGGCTGGTAGAGGTCCCACCCCAGGAGAAAACCCACAAACTCGGCTTCTCTCCCGCAGAACAAGAACTTTTCTGGTTTCAGTGTGATACCTGTGCGAGCGCAGGTCTCCAGAAAATCGTAGGTGTGCCAGAACGCCCCCTTCACACTGGAGTCATACAGGAGGGTGTCATCCACGCACTTGTACTTGTGGGGCACATCCTGAATGCCGTCATCAAACCTCTTGGTGTAGGCATCTGACGCTGAACAATGTCCCATGGGCGTCCTGCAGTATCAAAAACGGCCCCACGGCGTGATGAACATGGTCAGGCATCTACTCTCCTCCTCCAACTCCACCTGATGAAATCCCCAGAAGGCGTCGGCGACGGTTTTGAACGAGTGCACTGGCACCCCAGACACCATGTTGAATGGTGCAGGTGTGTGGTGCGTCTCCCTCAGACAGCTTGCATTGAGGCGTTGGAAGTCTACAGTGCGTCTGGGCTGACCGTTTTTCTTGGCCACCACGACCATCCTGGCGCACCACTCCGTAGCCTCAACAGCAGGAACTGGCTGGATGACGCCTCTCCTGATGTCCTCCTCCAACTGGGCCTTCACCTCTGCCTCCCGGTGTTTCGGAACGGGAGCAGGTGTGTGACAGGCGTAGGGGGACGTGCCGGGCGTCAGGTGGATACGGTGAAGGGGACCAGTCATGACTGGCAGTGGGGATCTGCTGGTGTTGAATGCGGTCGATGAAAAGTGCGTGAGCAGCCATGCCTCCAACCTGGCCACATTCTCCTCCAAAGGAGGCAAGGGTTCTCAACTGGCCTAGGAGGGACACGACTGCTCTCAGGTAAAGGGTTCAGAGGTAGGTCGTCGGCAGTGTGTCGCTCCCCTCCATCGTCCACAGCAGCCACAGCACGTCTATGGAGCAGGAAGTCGACAGGCACCAAGTTGAGGCACTTGCAGGCCTCCAATGACAGGTAGAGGGCCTTGGCTGTCTGCACGAAGTAGACCTCCTGGACGGTGGACCTCTCGTCCACACTGAGGCGGCAGGGGGCGGACCCCAGACACTTGAACTGTTTGTTCGCCATGTCCCTCAGGCCATTACGGGCCCGAAGTTGCCCCGGACGCAAACCGATGTCTTGGAGCAGGGATGGCCCTGCCACACACACACCATAGCACCCGTGTCAGCCACAGCCAGCACAGGGGTGACGGGAGAATTGTCCCCAGCCTGGGTCATGAACGCTTGTAACCTGGGGTGGCGGGATAGCTGGGCTGTTGCCACTGTGACAGCACCTGACACATCCACAGAAGCACTTAGGACTGACTTACTCCTACAACACCTTTTGAAATGACCAACCTTAGAGCAACTGTAACATGTGGCCCCACTTGCAGGGCAATTGCTTTTACCGGAGGCATGTGTCATGCCACAGTTCCCACAGTGCGCGCGACTGGGGTGTCCAGGGCGGGCGCCAACTACCTCAGACTTGCCCGTGACGTCATCACCAACCGCCGCTGCCTCCGTGGCTGTTCCCGCCACTGCCTGGCCAGACATATGACACAATACACCAGCATCTCTCACTGCTGCCTCAAATAACAGACATTTGTTTCTAAGCACTTCAACACTATTACAACTCGAGTAACCCTGGAAAATTTCCCTTTTCAACACTGGGTTACTCAGGCCCACCATGACTTTACGTAATAGCATGTGCTCAGAGAGATCGTTATTACGGGTGGGACATTTTAAATTCACACTCCACTGCCTCCGCGAAGCATCGTTGAAAATACCTTTTCATGGGCTCCTCTTCACCTTGTTTGCTGTTGAAAAACTCGTTCCATTTCACAGCTTGGTTTGACGATTGAAGAACCACTCCACTGATGGCGTCCAGGGCTTCCTTGGGCGAGAGCTGCTTCCACTGACCGCTGGGATATCTTTGGAGAGCAGGGACGCAGTTCAGGCGAATGTGGAGTGTGGCCACCAGTTGTGACCATCCATTCAACAGCATCCACGACTCCATGGACCGCCTCCATGTCTTAAACGCCGCTGCTGGCATTTCTGTCTCACATTTCTCTGGAGCGACCGCTCCTGAGGGCTTCATGACCAGCATAGGAGCATGACCGTGGCCGCCAGTAGCTAGAGATGCCATCTGAGCCATCAATGCACTCACGGTCTGCTGCTGGGCGTGCCTGGTGTTCCCCGCCGGTGTAGAGATGCCCTGGCGTCGAGAATTGTGGACGTGTAGGGGCCATGTTGGCTTTATCGTCAGGGCTGTTATGACGTGTCAGGCCCCGGCATCCTACTCACTGCGCCATGTGAGAGGTTTGAATAAGAGACTAGGTTCTTTGCAGACTTTACTCTTACAGCGTCAGATGGTGACTGGCAACCGGGCGCTGCCACACAAGCTCACATTTCAACACATGGGAAAACATATCGTATGATGGTACTCCATTTCACAATCTCACAGTAATTATTTAATACAGGTTTACAATTGGTTACTCAAGTATATAAACTGCAGGTATACAGTTCATCATGAATTTAGACAATGTAGGTATACTGTGTAAGTAAGCTGGGGTGGTAGGCAGTCCACAACTTACAAACGGGATCCCAATATATTCATCACAAAAATCTGTAACTTATATCCCATTTGTTATATTGTTTAACATAACTTTATTTTACAATATTTACAGCAGTGTATTTGTTTTATATAGGATGTTATTGTTATGCTGTATGGGCCGGGCTGTGCTTTAACCACAGCTAAACTATGGATTAAGCACTGTTCCAACTTATGAACAGGGTCCAGGAACATAACTTGTTCATAAATGCAGGGACTGCTTGTTTTGTTATTTTTGTGAGTTATATTGTACAGTAGTTATTTGTTTGGCTCACATTGGAAGTGAAATATACAATATTTGTTTATTTATTTACAGTATACAATATTTATTTATTATTTTTTTGACACTAGCTGCTTGTGGGAGCGCTTTACTAATTTCCATATTGATTTGTATCGTTCAGACTCATAGGTTTAGAATTTTATGATGTTAAAGTTTCTTTTTATAAATATTTATTGATAACGTTTGTTAAAAGCTGGTGCTTTATTCAGGTTTCTTTATTTGTAATATATTTTGTTTTTTGTCACAGCTACCATGACTTACTTTCTGTATACAGTATTTTAACACAACAATATAATCGTTTCAGTTATGGGTCAGAGTCAGCTGATACAAGTTAGAAACATCATTGGAGACAGCTCTGATAGAATTATTGTGTCCTAAGGATACCACCCCAGCGAGAAGGAAGAGACATCGGCCAGGGTCACTACTTCAAGTATGGGAGGTACTGTATTTTTAAAACAATATTTCATAACTATTGTGAACTTTATATCAAAGTATTTACCTAATGGTCCTTTCACGATTCTGAATGTGTCTATGAAGTCTACCTTATTGTGTCGAGTAATTTTGTAAAGGAAGTTGAAAGTTTTAAAGGGAGATAAGAGATTATTATGTTGTTTCTGAGTGATGCTGTGTTGTTAACCATATCCATTTAGTGTTGATATTGATGAAATAATAAAGGAAATCTTGACTGGTTACAAAGTGGGAATAAGACTGGAATGGATAAGTAAAGGTAGAATATAAAGGTAGTGATGAGTGTTGTAGTATCTTGGGTTATTTAATGGGAGAATGAAGAGTCACATGGTCTGTCTGGCTGGCTGTTTATTCTCTGTTCTTGGTTACAACGTGCCTAACACATTTCGTAAGAAGTAACATAATATATACATTCAATAAAGGCATCATATAAACATACATATATATAACAAGTGTGAATAATGGAAAAGTAATACTGTATTGGGGAAAAATTAAAAAAAGGCTAGGTACAGGACCGTCCTGATATGACATGTGTCTTTACATTTACTTATATCCTCTTCACCACTGATCAGCTCGTTAGCCGCTTGGGCGATCTGTTATGTCTCTGTTACTCACTGTTGACAAGTACTTGGCATGCAACAGCTCCTGATTGTACCTGAACCTGCTCCAGTGTTGGTCAAGTCTGGTCTTGAAAGAGCTCGCACTTGGTGCCATCACAACACTTTCTGGCATATTGTTCCAAGAGTTCACAACTCTCTCCAAAAAAGTTTGCCCTCACAGTTTTCTGGACTTTTGGGCTTCTTCAGTCTTGAGCTGTGACCCCTTGAACCTTGAGGTTGTTAGTTTGTGCTTAGGTTAAGGGTTGCCTGCAGTTTCTTTTTACAGGGGAATAGCCCACCTGGACACAGGTGGCCTAGGGTACGAAAAAATAAGAACAGAAAGAAAATAAAAAAAAGAAAGGGAAAAGGTTATATTAATCTACACCAAAAAGATCCTCCCCGACTTACGACCTACTCGACTTATGACCACCCGCACTTACGACCTGCCTCAGTCGTACCAAAATTTGGTCAAATTTTTATTTTCGAGTCCCAAAGTCAGTACAGTACAGTGACCCCTCGGTTAACGAACTCAATCCGTTCCAGAAGGTCGTTCGTTAACCGAAACCATTGTTTCAATGGGTTTTTGGGTAATTGGTTCCAGCTCACCGAAAATTTCCTAAATTCAACAAAAATGGTAGAAAAGTTCACTTACTTTGAGGTGTGTATGTAGAAGGCTCCTGGATGATGATGATGGGAATTACAATGGGGGTGGAGGAGAAGGAAGAAGAGAAGGCATTGGGGTGGAAGAGAAGTCACCCCATGGCACCATTTCACCCATAAAATTTTAATTCTCTTGGTGTATTTCAAGATTATTTTCTTTAAATCAACACTGTACTGCATTATATATTGTCAATATGTAAAATATATTTCAAAATGACCAATAATTTGCTTGGAAACACAGAAAAAAGCGTTTAGTTGAAGAGAGTCTCAAGCAAGATGTTACCTCCAGTGAAAACAGAGAGACTAACGCCTGTTTGCTGTGTTAAGAGGCTGGATGCTGCGCTTTAAACTAGTCACTTTACCTTCAATTATGTTCAATAATTGTTAAAATGACTAAAAAATTGAATATTAAACTTTTAAAATTATTGAATAGTATAAACTTCTTGATATTTACTAAAATAGTTAGGAATTTAAGCCCTAGAACCGATTAATGTATTGGCGGACTGATACTAAAGCTGGTTGCCCGGCCAGTGCAAGCGAAAACATTTTGAGGTCGGTTCGTAAGAAATTCGTTAACCGAGGCGTTCGTTAAACGAGGGGTCACTGTACACAGACAAAATTTTCATCTGTAATTCACTTTAAAATGGCTGGCAAGCTTAAAAGTAAGTGTTTTGTGGTGCTGAGAAGAAAATGAGACCCCCCATTTTAGATTTTCTATGTATTATTTAAGCATTTTCGACTTACGACCTGGATGTCGGTCCCTAACCCCGTCGTAAGTCGGGGAGCAGCTGTATTAATTTTTTTACATTATCAACAGAGACTTAGTAGGGACCCCTAATGTCAGTCAAGAACATCCTACTTCTACTACAACAGTTGCTCAACAAAATATAACAATAGACAATACATATCATCAAAAACTACAATCGGCAAACAAAATTTTTTAATTATCCACGCTTCTTTCAGACATGGCTTTGATATCACTACTACTGTTGGTCTTGAGCGCGGTGACAACGGCCGTATCCCCAGCAGACGTCATCAAACCCGGAGCTTTAGTTGCCTCACTAGGCTAAGTACTGGTAGTTCAAGACTTTGTAACTGTCAAGTATGAGCTCCATGACTTAATGCACATGCCAGTGCATCTGAGGTCAATAGCTGTCCACATTGAAACAGCTATGCAAACTCTGCAAGATCTCCAACAACAAACTACAATCTCTACAACACTCCGTCAGACCATCTCTCTTCAGAACGACCGTCTGAAGAGTCTACTCAAGACAGTAACGCCTGTATTATTAAACAACATCTTCCCCTTGAAGAGGGTCATCGTGTTTCAACCTGAGTTTTAAACTAAATGAGTCCTGAGGGACACTGCAGTACAGTACTTAACAGGGTGGTGTGGCGGTAAAATTAACTAATTCCAATAAAATTAATTTATAATATTGGAATTAGTTAATATATACATTATATATTATGTCACTTCTTACCAAAGTTAGAATGTGTTTAGACCTGTGTCATCGTGAATGTGTTAGGCACGTGGTACACACCAATATTGAATAAACGCCCTGAATAAGACTGAGCATGTGGCTTCTCATTCTCCCATTAAACCATGTAAGATACTACAGCCGGGTTGTGTTGCGTTTCTGTAACAGAGTGTTTGTTATTCGGGCCTTCATTGTTGAGCGGCAGAAATTGGACAGTGATTACATAAGATCATCAAGACCGTCTTAGTGATGTGAAAGTGTAAGGCGATTGCTGCCATTCCTCCTTATCGCCCCCCTGCCGCCGTTAATCGCCCATAAGGCAATTGCTGCCACTCCTTCTTATCGCCCCCCTGCCGCCGTTAATCGCCCATAAGGCAATTGCTGCCACTCCTTCTTAGTTAAAACCCCCCACCTCCCCAACACACACATACATACACAAAAAAACTAATGGTTATTGGTAGTTTGGTAGAATAACTGATTCACTCATTATATCTGTAGTATTTCTTTAAGTGAGTAACGAGCTAAAACTATTGTCAGTGTTAATAAGTAGAGTTTACGTCAGTCATTTATTTTTAGTTATATTTGGTTAGGTTAAGGGAGGTGAACTCGGCTGAGTATAGTTCATATTAAACTTAATTCCATTCGATTTTGTTGTAACTGAAAATAACATATGAGTTCTGGCATTCTTTGTTAGGGTAAAAAATTATCGTTCGAATCTTAAGTATCGTTACAGAGAAGGCGGACTAAATCAAGTAAAAATTATACTAAGACACCATTATTATTTGTTATTATGAAAAAAACCGGTAAAGTCTTTGAGAATTTACACTCCTATATATATACGACTTTTTACATGATGGACTTAATACTGGAACAAATTCTAGTGAATTGGTTTATTCTCACAGCGGATGACACTTTTAATCACAAGAAACCATCCATCAGGCATCATCTGGCAAAACACCACCACTTCTTCTATTACTGTACCTTAGTGGCTTTTTTACTGGCCCTTCCGAAGAACTGCTCACTTATCTGGGCCTTCGGAGCTGAGAACAATCTAAAACAGTTGAGTTACGAGGTACACATGGGTGTGCGTGTGTGTGGACGTATGAGTTTTTATTAGTGTTGCCATTTTTTGTTTTCGCCCCACTGCTGCCATTAATCACATATAAGGCAATTGTTGCCATTTGTTGTTTTCGTCCCACTGCTGCCATTATTCACATATAAGGCAATTGTTGCCATTTTTTGTTTTCGCCCCACTGCTGCCATTAATCACATATAAGGCAATTGTTGCCATTTTTTGTTTTCGTCCCACTGCTGCCATTAATCACATATAAGGCAATTGTTGCCATTTTTTGTTTTCGTCCCACTGCTGCCATTAATCACATATAAGGCAATTGTTGCCATTTTTTGTTTTCGTCCCACTGCTGCCATTAATCACATATAAGGCAATTGTTGCCATTTTTTGTTTTCGCCCCACTGCTGCCATTAATCACATATAAGGCAATTGTTGCCATTTTTTGTTTTCGTCCCACTGCTGCCATTAATCACATATAAGGCAATTGTTGCCATTTTTTGTTTTCGTCCCACTGCTGCCATTAATCACATATAAGGCAATTGTTGCCATTTTTTGTTTTCGTCCCACTGCTGCCATTATTCACATATAAGGCAATTGTTGCCATTTTTTGTTTTCGCCCCACTGCTGCCATTATTCACATATAAGGCAATTGTTGCCATTTTTTGTTTTCGCCCCACTGCTGCCATTAATCACATATAAGGCAATTGTTGCCATTTTTTGTTTTCGCCCCACTGCTGCCATTAATCACATATAAGGCAATTGTTGCCATTTTTTGTTTTCGCCCCACTGCTGCCATTAATCACATATAAGGCAATTGTTGCCATTTTTTGTTTTCGTCCCACTGCTGCCATTATTCACATATAAGGCAATTGTTGCCATTTTTTGTTTTCGCCCCACTGCTGCCATTATTCATATATAAGGCAAATTGTTGCCATTTTTTGTTTTCGCCCCCTGCTGCCATTAATCACATATAAGGCAATTGTTGGCATATTTTGTTTTCGTCCCACTGCTGCCATTATTCACATATAAGGCAATTGTTGCCATTTTTAGTTTTTGCCCCACTGCTGCCATTAATCACATATAAGGCAATTGTTGCCATTTTTTGTTTTCGTCCCACTGCTGCCATTAATCACATATAAGGCAATTGTTGCCATTTTTTGTTTTCGTCCCACTGCTGCCATTATTCACATATAAGGCAATTGTTGCCATTTTTTGTTTTCGCCCCACTGCTGCCATTAATCACATATAAGGCAATTGTTGCCATTTTTGTTTTCGTCCCACTGCTGCCATTAATCACATATAAGGCAATTGTTGCCATTTTTGTTTCGTCCCTGCTGCCATTAATCACATATAAAAGGTGTTGCCATTTTTGTTTTCGCCCTGCTGTATTCATAAGGCAATTGTTGCCATTTTGTTTTTTACTGCTGCCATTAATCACATATAAGGCAATTGTTGCCATTTTTTTTTTAATCCCTGCTGCCATTAATCACATATAAGGCAATTGTTGCCATTTTGTTTCGTCCTGCTGCCATTAATCACATATAAGGCAATTTGCCATTTTTGTTTTCATCCCTGCTGCCATTATTCACATATAAGGCAATTGTTGCCATTTTTGTTTTCGTCCCACTGTGCTGCCATTAATCACATATAAGGCAATTGTTGCGCCATTTGTTTTCGTCCCACTGCTGCCATTAATCCTATAAGGCAATTGTTGCCATTTTTGTTTCGTCCCTGCTGCCATTATTCACATATAAGGCGTTGTTGCCATTTTTGTTTCGTCCACTGCATTAATCACATATAAGGCAATTGTTGCCATTTTTGTTTCGTCCCACTGCTGCCATTATTCACAAAAGGCGATGTTGCCATTTTTTGTTTTCGCCCCACTGCTGCCATTAATCACAGCAATTTGTTGCCATTTTGTTCGTCCCTGCTGCCATTATTACATATAAAATGGCCATTTTTGTTTTCGTCCCACTGCTGCCATTAATCACATATAGGGTAATTGTTGCCATTTTTGTTTTATCCCCTGCTGCCATTATTCACATAAGGCAATTGTTGCCATTTTTGTTTTGCCCTGCTGCCATTAATCATATAAGGCAATTGTTTTTTTGATTTCGTCCCTGCTGCTGTGCCGTTAATCGTCCCGTGCGGCGTTGCCTCCCTCATTCTTATGGCCTCCCTGCGCCGTTAATCGCCCATAAAGCGTTGCCGCCACTCATTCTTATGGCCCCTGCCGCCGTTAATAGCCCGTAAGCGTTGCGCCGACTCATTCTTATAGCCTCCTGCCGCGTTAATCGCCGTGAAGCGTTGCACGCCACTCATTCTTATGGCCCCTGCGCGTTAATCGCCTGTAAGGCGATTGCCGCCACTCATTCTTATGGCCTCCCTGCGCCGTTAATGCCCCGTAAAGCGTTGCCGCCTCATTCTTATGGCCCCCTGCCGCGTTATCGCCCGTAAGCGTTGCGCCACTCATTCTTTGGCCTCCCTGCCACGTTAATCCCGTAAAGCGTTGCGCCACTCATTCTTATGGCACCCTGCGTTAGCGTCCGTGAGGTGATTGCCGCCACTCATTCTTATGGCCCCCCTGCGCGTTAATCGCCCGTGAAGGCGTTACGCCACTCATTCTTATGGCCCCCTGCGCCGTTGTCGCCCGTAAGGCGTTGCCGCCACTCATTCTTATGGCCTCCCTGCGCCGTTAATCGCCCGTAAGCGTTGCCGCCACTCATTCTTATGCCCCCCTGCGCCGTTAATCGCCCGTGAGCGATTGCGCCACCATTCTAGCGCCTCCTGCCGTTAATTCCCCGTAAAGCGTTGCTGCCACTCATTCTTATGGCCTCCCTGCCGCGTTAATCGCCCGTAAAGCGGTGCTGCCACTCATTCTTGCCGCCTCTCCACGCCGTTAATTCGCCCGTAAAGCGTTACGCCACTCATTCTTATGGCCCCTGCCGCGTTAATAGCCCGTAGCGTTTCCGCCACTCATTCTTACCCCTGCGCCGTTAATAGCCGTAAACGTGCGCCACTCATTCTTTGGCCCCCTGCGCCGTTAATGTACAGCAAAGGCGTTACGCCACTCATTCTTATGGCCTCCCTGCACCGTTAATCGCCCATAAGCGTTACGCCAACTCATTCTATGGCCTCCCTGCCGCGTTAATCGCCCGTAAGGCGTTGCGCCACTCATTCTTATGGCCTCCCTGCGCGTTAATCGCCCGTGAGCGATTGCCGCCACTCATTCTTATCGCCCCCTGCGCGTTAATCGCCGTAAGGCGATTGCGCCACTCATTCTTATCGCCCCCCTGCCGCGTTATAGCCCGTAGGCGGTGCCACCACTCATTCTTATAGCCTCCCTGCCGTTAATTGTCCGTAAGGCGGTGCGCACTCATTCTTATGGCCTCCCTGCGCCCGTTAATCGCCCGTGAGAGCGTTGCCGCCACTCATTCTTATGGCCTCCTGCCGTTAATACGCCGTAAGGCGTTGCGCCCACTCATTTTATGGCCCCCTGCGTTAATGCGCCTGTAAGGCGTTACGCCACTCATTCTGTATTTATGCGCGCGTTAATCGCCCGTGAAGCGATTGCGCCACTCATTCTTATGGCCCCCCTGCGCCGTTAATCGCCGTGGGCCGTTGCCTCCACTCATTCTTCCCAGCGCCTCCCTCCGCAGTTAATGCGCCCGTAAGGCGTTACCGCCACTCATTCTTATGGCCTCCCTGCCGCGTTAATCGCCCGTAAGCGTTGCCTCACTCATTCTTATGGCGCCTCCCGCCGTTAATCGCCGTAAAGCGATTGCGCCACTCATTCTTATGGCCTCCTGCCGCGTTAATCGCCCGTGGCGTTGCGCCACTCATTCTTATGGCCCC